ACAGTATCTCAAACATTTAGCAAACCTTTCCTTATAGGTCACTTAAATTATCTGGACAAATCTAATTTTCTGAGAGCTAAGTTAACTTTTTTTCTTTATTATCTTCTTATTCCATTTATAATCTAATTTGCCAAAAACATGACTCTGGACATTAGGAAGACTTCTGTGAGTCTTAGCCTACTTATCCTGAGTCTTAAATGAGGTTTTAACTAAGATTTTCTTTGAAAATAAACCACAGTTTTATATTCAAATAGAGACAAAAACTGGATTCTCCCAAGGTGCTCCATAAAGCACTACATAAATCCTTGGATTTATGTAGACCTGTCATGCAACAGGATCTTTTGGATCTTCCACACTATTCCAGCACACTGAGATGAGAATTTAATCAATGAGAATCAATTCATGGCCCAGCTTCCCTGCAATTTGTTTTTCAGTATATGTGATGCAATGACAGTTTGTCTTTATAAAACTCTGATCCTAATTCCCAGGAGCTGCCGAGTGTGGGGAGACGACAGAGTTTCTTCTCCCCTGTTGCTACAGGATGTCTTGGCTACTGTAATTCCCAGCTTTGCAGGTGCCAGAGTCTTTCTCTGTGGCAGACTTTTCTCCCCCTCTTCCTGGAGGGTGGGAGCACAGCACTAGGAAGAACCATCAGCAAAAATCTGCAGCAGAGCTAACAGAAGAAGTAAATCCTTCCATGAGAAATTCTACCTACAGATGAAAAGACTTCATAAAGAAGGGAAGGAAACCTTCTTACCTCCCTAACAACATTTTTATATAAAACAATTGGCAAACCAAGCTACAGCACCCCACCCGCCAACTTTTAAATCAAAATCACTGTAATCAGAAAGAGTTGCACATTACACACTTCTTTCACGTATATTTTACCCATGAAAAGGTAATGCCAGCATAAACGGAGTTAACTGTTACTAGGTGCTAAGAATAAATGTGCTTCTTTCCTTTGTGAATGACTAGTTTGGCAATATGTTGTAATGATGTTTCTCTTTTTATGGAATCGATGTGTCTGGGGAAGCAGACTATGGAGTAACAAATTGGGGACTTACCAGAGGCAAAATAAAGTATGCTTGATGGACTTCTGACAGAAATAAACAGTGTAAATCAACTTTATTAACCACTCAGACATGGAGGCCAGCTGCAGTCAGTCCCCAGTGTAATAGAAGAAAACTGAAGACAAATACTATTTGGAAAATACAGAGGTATTGCTGCCAGCTCTCACAAAACACATCATTCTCATCCACTTGGTCCTCTGTTCTGCTGCCTGACTAGAGCTCCAACAGCTCCTATCCATCCTGCAAGGTGGTCTTGAACTGCAGAAGGGAGATTAAAAAGGCAAGGGACTGAGCTCCTGGTATCTCCTGCAAGTTGCCTTTGCTGATACACAATTTCCCCATCACTCCCTGAGACATGCCTGCACTTAGAGTCCGATACAAAGGGAAATAATAAGATCTAGTCTTGAGCCCACATTCAGTCTCCAATAACTTAATCCCTAGGCAGTATGAATCTGGATACTCATCTTCCCAAAACCTTTATTCGGGAACAGTTTACAGGTAAATGGAGATATGGGAGACTGCTATTGACATTGCAAAAGAGCATAGTTTAACTTAAATCTGAGTTCATCAAACTTAATTAAATTTAATCACATTAAATAGAACTTCTAATTTCATTCTACATTCTGAAAAAATTCAGATCTGTTTTAAGATATTTTTACTAGTACTAGAATTTTTATTCGTTGTTCTCATCCCCTGACCTCTGCCTGGAATCTCTGTGTGTCTCAGAGGAAGGTTTTCACTACATCCTCATCCCAGTGCATAAAAGCTGCTGTTTTCTCCTGGATATGACGTAATGATAAATAATAAATATTTATTTATTTTCTTATTTATTTTTATTATTTTATTATTTTATAATTAAAAAATAAATAAAAACAATTTTATATTTTATATAATAAATTGATAAAACATTGAAATAACATGAGGACACTTTCCCTTAACTAAAAAATCTGGTATTGTTTATACTATATGATTATAGTAGATGAAACCTTAGTATAAGTTGATTTCCTACTGAGGCCTCTATGATTTCCACTGGCATGTTCATCCATTTCGAAGTGAGGGCAAGTCTTTTGTTAGATTAGACTTTCCCCTTTACAGATTTATTTCTCGTTGACTCTATAATTATACAATTAAAGCTAATATAGGTAATTTAAACATTTAATTTATTTAATGGCATTGAAGAGAGTGCTTAAGGTCAGAGGAGATCTGAGGTCCTACAGATGCACAGAAGTCATGATTCATGAGTGATTTCCTGCCTGTGGTGGTAGTTAACTGGGTGACATTGGAGGATAATGACCAAAGGCCTGAGAAAGAAGCTGCCAGGAAAGCATCTGCTGCCAGAAGTACATGACATACTTTAGAGAAGGAATCTTGATCACGTGAAAACAGTGCATACTAAAATTTATTTTAAAATGCGATGAGGCAGAATCCCGCTTTCTTATTATAAGGAAGGCTTTCTCTCAAACATTTCTGTTTTGGTTTATATGTAGAAAATACCAATATAAACCATGTCTGTAAACCTGGCATGTCTCCTGGAACTGAGTTACGAAGCTGACTAAAACTACTAAGAAAATATTCATATAACAGTAATATCTATGAAGGGCTGAGCATTTGCTAATGAAGTGATAATACATTAGTAGCACAAAAGATGGAAGCAAATGCAAACAAAGAAATAAACACACAGAATGCAAAAGTTGAACCAAATAAATTAATCTTCCTCCTACTGAAATTTATGCTGTGGAAGCAAGCATGTAGAGCGAGGTGCCTGCTCTGGTCTTGTGCCTCTGTCTGCTGTACCTGTTTGTACTCCTACAAAGCCTCTCTGGCCTCCATGTCTCAGAGGCAGTGGCAATCCATGCTGAGTCAAAGATGACAGAGGCAACTGCCTTCAACATTTTCCTGTAAAATGTCACTGGAAGAGTAGGCAGTGAGTTCTGCTTTGTTTGCACTGCCTTCCTGCAGGACCAGTGAGTAAAAAGCCCTCCCAGTAAGTCTGGGCAGTTAGATTTGTGTGTGTGTTAAAGTCGGCCCAGCACTGCATGTTTGTGGTTGCCTCACTGCTCTATGTCCCTGTGATGAGTCTAATTGGGACTGGCTCTGCTGTCACTTTCAAATTGGGTTTCCCCTTGTTTGTTCTCTTCTGTGTCCTTCTGTGAGGAATAAGAGCCTGTACAGGATTTGTGTTTTGTATCACACCCAAAAGCCAATTAGACAAATGCTTGTTGAGGTGTGAAGGGAAGGAAAAAGGGCCTTCAGCTGGGAGATCCTATACTTACACAGGGATTCACACACTACAGCTTAGTGTTACCAAAAACTTCTGGAATCCCTGCTTAGGTTGTGTCAGAGTGGTCTGGACAGTATGAAAAGTTAAAGTCAGAAAGGGGTATTCCATGGGGAAAACAGCTCAGACCTCGTCAAGAAGGAAGACATTTCCAGAGTCCTACTGGTCCATAAAGCCTGTATGGAGTTAAAAGCCATATAAAGATTTATCCATCCAAAATCCCAGGCTACCACAGTACCACAGGGTGACTTACACAAGCATATCCAAACATGTTACAGACGTGTTTTCTCTGTGAATATGCTGAACACATAAAGACAATATGGCCTGATGGAGGACAATGGCTGATAAAGGCAAAGGGTGTGTGACATCTGAGAGGCTGCAGAACATCTGCCCTTATGAGTCATCTGAGAAGCATCATGACATTCTCTACACTACCAGGAACTGGTTGGTGACCCAGTCCTAAAATAATTTGGTCCTTTGAGGTCACTGGTAGTTTAATTTAGATGCATGGAATACCCCTAACCTCATAAATTGGGAGAGATAGAGTTATTTGATTACAGCAGACTGTAAGAAGAAGTCTGTTTTGAATGTCCCTTGTTTGAAATCACAAAATTGCTATGAGCTACATTTTAAAGCTTGCTTTTCTTCAGAACTGCATTATTGTTTTAGAAAAAGATGAGAGCATTTTCTATGAAAAGCCTTTCAATACTAGGTGAATCAGATCAAAACATAAATTAAGGCATTTTCCATAATTTACCAATTAATCTAGAAAATACTGCTGTGTAAAATCACAATGGGAGAAACTGATAGTTGTTCAAAACTAGTAAAAACGAAGTCTTGTCAAGAAACAGCTTCAATAAGATAACATAACAAAGCAAACTAAATTAAAACAAAAATGAGATTAAAGTCATGCACAGCCCTACTAATGCCAGAACACCCTTTTGAATATCATCCAGCCTTGTCCAGCTCAAGTTTTCATAGTCCCTTTCTGGCATGCACCAGAGCCTAAGACACAGCACCAAGGACATCCTGATGAAGATTAGTGTACCTCACCTCTGGCTTTGGGATAGGGAGTGGGAAGCATAATATTAATAAAAGAAATCTAAATACCACATTGCCAAGAAAATACTAATTTGCAAAATAAAGGGAACACCAAGCTCCAAACAGGTTAAAAAGAAAAATCAACTTTTTGTGCAGAGGAAGAAGACACTTCCATCCATAGACTATTTTCCCATCCTTTCTATTCAGAGAATAGAAAAAGCAGTAGTACAGTTCATGTCAACATAGATAGGAGGTAAAGGGGCAACATCTGACAATGTGCATTTCTGTTCTGACAAGAAAGAAAACATAGTCAATGGCTTTCTGAAGGTTAAAAATGTTGACGTTTACAGTACTGTCCTGGCCACATCACTTCCATCAGAGAAGCAGACATTAATGTGTCAGGTAAGTTTTGGGTTGGAGAGAGCTGCCAGCAGTGGCAGAGGACAAGTATTCTACTTCTTGCAGGCTTTTGTACTGTGCCAGTTATTAATATCATTGCAAACATGACTATAAAAAAGGTTGTTTCTGGAAAAAAAACGTTGTGAAAGGAAGAAAAAGAGCAAGCTGTCAATTTTTCTTTAACTCACATCCCCAATTTTAAAGTTTCTTACCTGTTTCTTGACAGAACTGCCTGTTTGTTTCTTTGGTTGTTTGTTTTGGTTGATTTGGGAGAGGACACTCGAGAAGAGGAGAGGGAGACTCGAGGAGACTTGAGAGGCGGGGCGGGGCGGG